TGAGTTCGCCACACCTGCCTGCCTTGAGTTCAATGTCCTGAGAGTCGGTCAAGGGTGGCAAGGGCATGGCCTGAGACTAGGAAGAGAGCAAAGCCCACTGATCCACCCCATGCCTGTGCTTCAGACTCAACTCCAGAGTGATTGAAATCTACACTGACATATAGGTTCAGCCCACAGTGATGGCAACTCTCAGCCCAACCAGGGGCACAAGGCCCAAAGATTATGGGGTCCACCTGGGACATGAACTGGAGCTTTATCACCTTCACAATGGAGTACTCACTGCCTATGTCAAGAGCCAAGCCGACTTGCTGTTCCTCTAATGAGGGAAAGGTGCTCTTGTAAGACTGGTACGAGGCAGACATGTCAGGAGGAATTGAGAGAGTCAAATAACCTTCATCCCAAGACTCCTGGGGGCTTCCTCCTCTTCAGACTCCTGCAGATTCCTGATGAGCCAGGCAGGACAGAGATGACAGAAGATTTAACCAACAGAGATTAGACAACAAAACCCCCCAGATGATCTGATGGGAGAGAGAATGGAGTGGTCACAGAAACCAAAGGCATTTTTCCTTCAAGAGAAATAAAACTATCCTTCTAAATGCAGGGTGGAGAGTGACTGCTCTGGGGACAGAGCAAAAATGGGCAGCACGTGCTCAGTATATTTGCCACAGATGAGCCAATGCAGGGCACCCAGACTCTCCCTGTAAACTACCGTCATGACTTGCAGCACAGAGAACTAACGCAGGGCTTCAACTACTTTGCATAAATTGGGTTGAATTTTGCATGTGGCATTCAAGTGAACAGAGCTCTTGAGGCAGTGCAGACACACAGCTTGTGTATTAAGGGCCCCATTTTTCCAATATTTTGATATAATATGTTTATTTTTCCAATTTCTTTTCTTGCACAAATACTAGCAAACATACTAATAACAAATGGGCAGAAAGCATATGTACATCTCTCTCTGGATTTGAACACATGGGAGAGAACAGGCGACACCAAGAAATCCCTGTTTGAGGATCTGGAGTGAACTTCCAGCAAACTCCAACAGACCTGCAGCTGAGGGACCTGACTGTTAGAAGGAAAACTAACAAACAGAAAGGGAAAGCATCCACACCCACAAAAAGGACATCCACACCAAAACCCCATCTGTAGGTTACCATCATCAAAGACCAAAGGTAGATAAAACCACAAAGATGGGGAGAAACCAGAGCAGAAAAGCAGAAAATTCTAAAAACCAGAGTGCCCCTTCTCCTCCAAAGGATCACAGCTCCTCGCCAGCAACGGAACAAAGCAGGATGGAGAATGACTTTGACGAGTTGACAAAAGTAGGCTTCAGAAAGTCAGTAATAACAAACTTCTCTGAGCTAAAGGAGGATGTGTGAATCCATTGCAAGGAAGCTAAAAACCTTGAAAAAAGACTAGATGAATGGCTAACTAGGGTAAACAGTGTAGAGAAGACCTTAAATGACGGAGCTGAAAACCATGGCACAAGAACTACGTGATACATGCATAACCTTCAGTAGCCAATTCGATCAAGTGGAAGAAAGGGTATCACTGATTGAAAATCAAATTAAGGAAATGAAGCAAGAAGAGAAGTTTAGAGAAAAAAGAGTAAAAAGAAATGAACAAAGCCTCCAACAAATATGGTACTATGTGAAAAGACCAAATCTACATTTGATTGGTGGACCTGAAAGTGACAGGGAGAATGGAACCGAGCTGGAAAACACTCTACAAGATATTATCCAGGAGAACTTCCCCAATCTAGCAAGGTAGGCCAACATTCAAATTCAGGAAATACAGAGAACACCACAAAGATACTCCTTGAGAAGAGCAACCTCAAGATACATAATTGCCAGATTCACCAAGGTTGAAATGAAGGAAAAATTGCTAAGGGCAGCCAGAGAGTAAGGTATGGTTACCCACAAAGGGAAGCCCATCAGACTAACAGTGGATCTCTGGGCAGAAATCCTACAAGCCAGAAGAGAGTGGGGACCAATATTCAACATTCTTAAAGAAAAGAATTTTCAACCCAGAATTTCATATCCAGCCAAATGACGCTTCATAAGTGAAGGAGAAATAAAATCCCTTACAGACAAGCAAATGCTCAGAGATTTTGCCACCATCAGGCAAAATCTTACAAGAGCTCCTGAAGGAAGCACTAAACATGGAAAAGAACAACCTCTACCAGCCACTGCAAAAACACGCCAAACTGTAAAGAACATCAATGCTAGGAAGAAAGTGCATCAACTAATGGGCAGAATAACCAGCTAACATCATAATGACAGGATCAAATTCACACATTAACAATATTAACCTGAAATGTAAATGGACTAAATGCCCCAATTAAAAAACACAGACTGGCAAACTGGATAAAGAGTCAAGTCCCAGCAGTGTGCTGTATTCAGGAGACCCATCTCACATGCAGAGACACACATAGGCTTAAAATAAAGGGATGGAGGAAGATCTATCAAGCAAATAGAAAGCAAAAAAAAGCAGGGGTTCATATGCTAGTCTCCAATAAGACAGACTTTAAACCAACAAAGATCAAAAGAGACAAAGAAGGACATTATATAATGGTAAAGGGATCAATTCAACAAGAAGAGCTAACTATCCTAAACATATATGTACCCAAATACAGGAGCACCCAGATTCATAAAGCAAGTTCTGAGAGACCTAAAAAGAGATGTAGACTCCCATGCAATAATAATGGGAGACTTTAATACCCCACTGTCAACATTAGACAGATCAACGAGACAGAAAGTTAACAAGGATATCCAGGACTTGAACTCAGTTCTGCACCAAACAGACCTAATAGACATCTGCAGAACTCTCCACCCCAAATCATTGGAATATACATTCTTCTCAGCACCACATCATACTTATTCCAAAATTGACCACATATTTGGAAGTAAAGCACTCCTCAGCAAATGTAAAAGAAGAGAAATCACAACAAACTGTTTCTTAGACCACAGTGCAATCAAATTAGAACTCAGGATTAAGACACTCACTCAAAACCATACAACTACATGGAAACTGAACAACCTGCTCCTGAATGACTACTGGGTACATAACGAAATAAAGGCAGAAATAAATACGTTCTTTAGAACCAATGAGAACAAAGACACAACATACCAGAATCTCTGGGACACATTTAAAGCAGTGTGTAGAGGGAAATTTACAGTACTAAATGCCCAGAAGAGAAAGCAGGAAAGATCTAAAATTGACACCCTAACATCACAATTAAAAGAACTAGAGAAGCAAGAGGAAACAAATTCAAAAGCTAGCAGAAGACAAGAAATAACTAAGCTCACAGCAGAACTAAAGGAGATAGAGACCCAAAACACCCTTCAAAAAATCAATGAATCCAGGAGCTGGTTTTTTTGAAAAGATCAACAAGAAATCCCTGTTTGGCTCATTCACCAGGCTGATCTGATTGCAAGTGCCTATACTGAGAGGACTATGAAATTAAAACAAATACAAGTGCCACAAATAACATACAACATTGTTAATAAGGACAATTTGTAGCTGGGTGAATAGAAGAAATAGTTCTATTCATCACCTCCCCTTTTTTTCCTCAATCTACAATCTCCAGGTGTCACTACTGAATTCACAGCTCACAATTCCACAGCATTACCTGGGAGACACTGGCCCTTTTTCTTCCTCTTCTTCATGATCACTTTCATTTTCTGTAAATAAATTCAGAGAAGCATGTCACATTAAGCAATTCACACTTCACATATGACCAAATCAGTGTCCAGTCATAGCACAAGGATATAACTATTCTCAGTGCAAGAATATGGATTCTGACAGGAATACTCTAGGGTGCCCTAGATAAAGTCTGGTGAGAAGTAGATGACCCAGCTTTCCAGACTCACAGGCCAAAATCTCCCTGTACGTATACACCATAATGCCATATTCCCTGCCTGAGTCAAAGTTAAACAAAATTTTTCCCAAAAAACTCTCCAGAAATTGGTCAAACAGTTTTCTTGGAGTGTTGCTGCAATACTGACTTATATCACCAGGTAACATGGACATTAAATGTTTAGAGGCATCTATACATGAAACTCGACTGACAAATTTGAACAATTCTTGCTTTAAAAAGAATCTGTGATTTGGGAGGCCAAGACAGGTGAATCATTTGAGGTCATAAGTTCAAGACCAGCCTGGCCAATATGGGGAAACCCCGTCTCTACTAAAAACACAAAAATTAGCCAGATGTGGTGGTGTGCACCTGTGATTCCATTTACTCAGGAGACTGAGGCAGGAGAATCACTTGAACCTGGGAGGCAGAGGTTGCACCAAGCCAAGATAGTCCCACTGCCCTCCAGCCTGGGTGACAGAGCAAGACTCCGTTGCGAAACAATATATGTGTGTGTGTGTGTGTGTATACATATGTGTGTGTGTGTGTGTGTGTGTATGATGCTACAAAGAAACATTAGATCAGCCATTGCATTGATGGGGTGGAGAAACGGGGTCCAGCCTTGCTTTATGGAAATACATCAGCAAAGTAAAGAAGAAAAGTTTCCATCCTGATTTCAGGGTGACTGTGCAGCTAAGCAAGCTGACTTAAAGGAGATCAAGATTAAAGCTGAGAGCAGTGAAGCCTAGGGAACAATATTTCCAGATACAAAGGCAAGGCTGCCAGCTTCCTTAAAAAGGCATAGAAACTCCATGAACATTGTTCAGGGACCGGTGACTTAATCAAAGATGACAAGAGATACTGAATCGAAGCTAGGAGGTCCGACAGATATTTCCTGTGCACCTCCTGCACTCAGGTGACTATGAGGTTGTCACACGTGCCTGGGGTCCAGTAACTTCACACTGGGGACCGGGAGACAAAGGCATGACATGAGCTGAGAAGGACAAAAAAACTCCCTGATATCTTTTTAGAATCCCATCGCAGTTTTTTTATTCAAACCAATTTGTGTGTATAGAGCCTGTCTTCAGAGTTTACCTTCCTCAGCCTAGACAGAGGTAGGAGACACAAGGAAAACAGAGGCTACCTGGGATAATATGTACAGCATCCTCCCACTCATCATGAGAGGATGAGTCAATGAGAGTTGAGTCGACTTCGTCTTCCACAAATGTGATCTTGGTATTCCTGTGTGGCTGGTTGGAGTCACAAGGAACATGGCTATTTGAACAAGTGACAGCACATTCCTCCAGTGAGTCCCAGGGACTTCCCTTTCTTCAGCCTTCTGCACCTCCCTGATGAGCAAGGTGGGATAGAGAAGAAAGAAGATTAAACACAGAGGGATTGGACCCCAGGGAGTCCTAGCTGGTTTTGACAGGAGGCATTAAGAGAGAGGCCCCAGAAAGCAAACAGGAGGTTCCCTTTAAGAAGTGACAGGCAATCCTCTTCTCTCTGCAACAGAGCATGGCTGCCACGGGAGCCAGACAGGAAGAGAGCAACTGGTGTTCATTGCACTGGACAGACAGGAGCTGAGGAGGATGAAGACTCAGCTATCCCTGTACAGTACAGACATGACACTCGGCACACACAGAGAACCACAACAGCTGCCACACCCTGTTTCTAAGCTGGGTTGAATTTCACATACTGTGGCCAAGGGAATGCAGGCTTTGGGCCCATCGTAGATGCCAGAGAGGGTGCGCCTCCTAGACCCTTTTCATATGTTACCACCCATTACTTGCTCCTGAGTATTCAGTGTTACCTGGGGGCACATGAATCCTGTACTTTCTCAGCTTCCTCAACTTGAACATCTTCATCCTCATCTTCGTCATTTTCTGCAAATACAGAAGTGTTCGTTCAGGTATTTCCCACTTCACACTCTGCAAGCACAGTCAGCCCAATGTACACAGAGACACGAACGTCTAGGCGTGGGTCACCGTTCAGCTGAAAGCTCTCATGTTTTATCTTTAACAAAATGACCTGGCGTTGTTTCCTGATCCATCAGGCAATGCATTTCTATCTGGAGGGCCACCATCAAGATATGGCCAAATATTGAAAAGACCTTTTGCTCCCCATATCACTGGAGGCTTGTGCAGCCTCTCTCTGGCCTTTGGCAGCTGTCTCCCTCATCCCGCCACAGATCTGATTCCCAGGCATGGGCTTGGTGTCCTGTCACAGTTTGCATTTAGAAACTAATTCTTTCTCTTAGGAGAGGACAAACTTGTCCCACAGTCCTCTATACATCAGGAGAATGCACAGGCCCTCCACGTGGCTTCTGCTGTGTTATTCAGGGACATTCTCTCCATGGGGAGTGCTCCAGTCTAAAGCCCTTCCTACCACCAAATGCCCCCACATCAAGTGCCTTCTCCAACACCACACGGCGAGGGGCTTCATCTCATTCTGAAAAACAGTCGTAAGTGTTCCCACATTTGGATGCTTCAGACCCTTGCAAGAGACAATTTGGCTGCCTTTGCAGATGGAGAGAGAGAAACTTAGGAAGGATAAATCACTCCCTCATCAACAGTTACTAAGAACATTGCTGAAGAGACAGCCTGGGAACCTTCATTCTTAGTCCAGAGCTCTTTTCACTCTAACAAGCGTCCGCCCGTCACAGCCTCCTTCCTGTCCTTTAAAACTAGATAGACGCTGCCTCTTGTTCCAAAGACCACCTTCCATCAAGGAAGGAGGGACATTTGCAATACTGTGACCTCCAACCCCATGGGTTTCCCAACTCTGTTCTTACCCAGGAAGTCCTGGTCATGTCATGGCCACATATGTTTAGTGGAAAAACCCCACCGATACAACCGTCATTGTGAAAGTGTGGAGGTCTGGAGTCTCTCATAAGCCTGGGGTTTTGGGTCATCAGGGCCAATGGCCACCTTACCTGGGCTGAGCTTTTGGACAAGGTGCTGTGCCAGCCTACACCCCTCAGCCAGCTGTTCTTGGATGTCCCGCCGCTGGGACTTGTCCGGCTCATCTGGAGTGAGGAGGGCCTGGAGATGCTGAGTCAATGAGCGGGAGGCATCTCTCCCTTCCCGTAACTTCTCCCTTAACCGGGCCAGCTCTCATGCCTGAGAGTGAACCAGGACTTTATATTGCCTAAGGTGGAGAGGGTAGAGAACATTTAACAGTGGAAAGGGATGAGTGATCAGTTCTAATATTGCAACAGAGATTTCTGAGACAATGTCCTCAAGGAGACCTCCAAGTAGAAGGTCAGCACATGTTTAAAGGAATGTCTGTGGCCAAGAGAAAGAATAGAAAATGGTTTACAGGTTTCCTCTGTATTAGAGAGGGCTCCTATAAGATCCTTGATGATGTTCCATTCATCTTTCTCTTCTGTAAACAAAAGTAGGTGTCTTCCTAATTCCGTTTCAAAAAGACTTCCTTCCAGTTCCTCACCCTGGCCACGGACATTTCCATGTGAAAATACGCATAGTGCATCTTGCGGCGATAGATACAAAGCCATGTACAAAAATGAGGCTGGGTGCAGATGGGGCGAATTGAAAAGATGAAAGAAGAAAAGAATGACAGGGCCGAGAAGGCAACATTGAATGAGTGGAAGCATGAGATGCCCCAGCCAGTCAGGAGGTGATTCTGACTAAGGGTAAGTGGGGTGATGATGACACACCATTTTGAGTATACTGAATGCTGCTGGGTGGTTCGCACTCCTTTGGTTAATTTTGTGTTATGTAAATTTCACCTCAACAATTACTTGTTTGAAAAAGAGAAAACAAGGCTCTGAGAAACAACTGCAACCCATAACTTATTATTATCCTTGTTCTCTGTTTGATAAATATTTGTGTGTCATGAGCCTGCCATGGCAATTCCTTCCCTT